CTATTGAAAAATCAGATTTCATGTACTTCTTCATCAGACTTACACATTCCTGTTTGTAATGTTTACTTGAAGGTGATAGCTTACAGCGTCAGCTTCATCAAATATTTTCTCACTACTCAATCCACTTTTCTTGTTTAATTAAAAAGAAGAAAGTATTACTGTTCACCAATTTTCATACTATGATTGAGGAGGAAGGAGATTATGAGTACTAGATTTGTAGTTCTAAGACTTTTGTATTTATTTTGCATTGTGTATTTCTAGTGTAAGATGTAAGTTCTTTGCTAACAGTTTCTTTTCTCACACCTCTCACTTGTGGAAATCTCTTCTGGTTTCTTGCTTTACAGTCAACTTTTATCATCAAAAATGTAAATACCGTGTCAATCATTATTTACTGTCTTCTTGATTCCTCATCTTTTATTTTTTCTTGATTCATCTTTTATTTTTTCTTGATTTATCTTTTATCTATTTCTTGATTCCTCATCTTTTTATTCTTTCTTGATTCATCTTTTATTTTTTTTTGATTCATCTTTTATTTTTTCTTGATTCCTCATCTTTTATTCTTTCTTGATTCATCTTTTATTTTTTTGATTCATCTTTTATTTTTTTTGATTCATCTTTTATTTTTTCTTGATACCTCATCTTTTATTTTTTCTTGATTCTTCATCTTTTATTTTTTCTTGATTCCTCATCTTTTATTTTTTCTTGATTCCTCATCTTTTATTCTTTTTTGATTCATCTTTTATTTTTTCTTGATTCCTCATCTTTTATTATTCTTGGTCTTTAATAATGTTTTTCTTTTTCTTATTCTTTTGCAATCAGTAACCCCCTGTGTCTTAGTGGCTTTATTGCTTAGCTTGGAGTTAAACAATTAAAAATGTATCTGTTCAGATTAAATATGAACAGCCATTACTTTTTGACCAATCCTCATATACCATGATTGAAAAGGAAGGAGATTATGTTGAAAAGTAGAGACTTTTGTGTTCATTTTTGTATGCTTTATGTGGGTCTAGTATTAGATTTTTTTAAAATTAAAGAGGAACAGCCATTACTTTTTGACCAATCATCATATACCATGATTGAAAATAAAAGAGACCACTTATTACTCTTTTAAGTTTTTTCAAGTTGTGACTATGACAGTAATGATGAGGACAAGAGTCCAAACAATGTAAATATTGTAAACAGTTACAATACTTAATTTCAGAAATATAGACTGGTCTTTTTTCTCTTTTGAGTTTATATTTTTCCTATGACACATGGCAATCTTTATGTGTAAGAAATTAAAAAGCAGACACTAATAAACCTAATATTATTTACTAGAGTTGTTTGTAAAGTAATGCCTGTTCTCATTTAATTTTAAAAGTCTGAGTCAGAGTTTATAGAGGATTTTAGCTGTAGATCCTTTGTAGAACATTTGTGGAGTTACCTTCCTTTTGTACCCATAATCCTTTTACAAAATGGCTGCCCTTCTAAATACATTGAGAAAGTAAAGAGCTGACATAGAATTACTGTTTTTTGGAAGAAGCAATCACTGCAAACATTCAGAGAAGGTAAGTGAATCTTTATATAAAGGTAGCACTTAATCTATCTACAGTAAGAAGACAGGTCAATAGAGTTAATGGCAATCTGAGAGAGGAAGTAGAATATGATCAGAGTGGCAAGCCAGTTAATTCTCTGAATGATGTAAAGGTTAAAAAAGCTGATTTTCTGAATACAAGCTAAAAAATGACTATTATGAAACTGAAAGCTTTCAGGTGATCCATGACTGTGCCAGCATTTTAGCATGTTTTCTCAGTTACTGAAAGTTCTAAGAATCCTGACAGGACTCAATGAAAGAGCAAAGAATAGTTACTCTAAAAGAGCTTCTTAAACTTCACAGGACAAATGGTACTAAAAGAAGTGGTTCTCCAGTGTTGATGCAGTGCAAGAAGAAACTCCCATCTGGCTAATAAAGCAGCTGGGGTGTTTTTACAAGGTGTGTACACATGCCCTTATTCAAAAGTGAAATATCATAGTTGAGAAAGAAGGAAGCTATGTTGAGGACTTCATTTGGAATCTTGACTTTTGTGTTTATTTTGGCACGATTTGTGGTTATCATAACAGGCTTTTCTGGTGATAATGGTGGCTAGACACTCTACAAGATTCAAAACCTGTGTAAAGGCAGATGAACCTTCTTGTAGGGTCAATGGTCATCTAGCACAATGGAGTAAACTGGGCTCCACAGGTATGTACACAACCAGTACGGTGATGACATGACATCACTGGGTGAAGGGCTTCCTAGATTGTAAACAGCCAGGCTAGGGGGTTCCCACAATGGAATCAACTGCCATGTGTCTGTAACCAAGACAAGCCCAAGTTGCATGATTAAATTTTTTATTCTGTTGTCAATGTTTTGTTCCATAAGAATATCATGTGCCTGAAAACTGCACCACTAGTTGACTCAAGCCAGTAGACAAAACTGTTCAAAAGCCATCAATAGTTGTACTAGCATGAAGACTAAAGTCATTGTAACCGAGGGTGTAAGCACACTGGCTTTATTCAACTACTGATTACACTAGATAATGTGCTCTTTCCTCAAAACTGTAACTAAAATTTACATAGCATAGTTCCAATGCAAACTACAGGCTGACTCTGTAGGCATTGAAGAAACACAAATGTGTCTAAGCAGGCGCCAGCAGCAGGGATTAGCTCACCACCATACAAGCATACTCAAAAACGATTATGATTATTATTATTATTGTGAATCACACTTTTGGCAGACTATTCAGATCCTTGAATTCAGTAGCATATTAGGACTGTTTGAGATACCGTCAGCCATGCATTGGGCGTACCTAGAGAAAGACAGTCTGATGAAATCCATCTTCCTTCAGATTGATTTTGAATTCAGATTTGTCATCATCTGCTAGTTGCCATACCAAGACCAAAGGGACCAGTTTGCTTTGCAATTTACAGAGGTTTGAATTTAGAGGTTTCCTAGACAAGTGAAATCAGACTACCCTGTTATTTAACCCATAGCTGGAGAAAGATGGATTCTTGCTTTTCCCAAGAGTATTAGTGCTCGGGGATCGAAACAGATGCGGCCAGAAGTTGAACGCCGCATGCCGATTCTAGTTTCCGTACTAATAATTGTTATGCTATCCTCGAGTATGCACGTAGACAAATTGCATTATATGTAGATATGTAATTAAAAAAGATATTTTCGGATATGAAGAAATTTGGATGAAAATAAAGCCTGCATATACGGATTTAATGAGTATACGTACATGTGTGTGTGTAAAAGATATATAAAAACACATATTGAAATAATAGTGGGCAAATAAATGAGATGGGGAAAAAAAAACTTCTTAGTGACGTGTTTTGTTCCAAGAAGAAACTTCTTCAGCCAAATAGCGGTTTTATTGATGGAACCCGTCGGATACATCAAAAGTCGGGGAAAAAAGATAGGTCGTGGAGAAATTCAAGTGCCGGCTGCAGTTTACATACATACGTATTTATTAATATTACACAAGTCACACGTATAATGATATTGTTCAAAATTAGCTATATTTATAGAGGAAGATTGCTTGGCTTATAGATGTGAACATACGATTCCTATATCCGCATTCTTTCTCTCTCATTCTGTATATATATATATATATATATATATATATATATATATATATATATAGAGAGAGAGAGAGAGAGAGACACAGAGAGAGAGAGACATACAGACAGACAGACAGTGTGGACATAGGAATCAAAATTGCGAGGTTATTACCAGTTTCACATTTCAATATGATCTTCAGACTTGGCAGTCACGATACACGGTTGATTCTTATGTCCACACTCCCCCCTCTCTGTCTGTCTCTCTCTGTCTGTCTGTCTGTCTGTCTCTCTCTCTCTCTCTCTCTCTATATATATATATATATATAAGCATCTTTTGCCCACTTCATGCATTTAGTTTAGTACTTGTGTGAACTTGTGCCAGATATATATATATATATATATATATATATATATATATATATATATATATATTTGTGTGTGCGTGAAATGCATGCTATAACACACACACACACACACACACACACACACACACACACATATATATATATATATATATATATATATATATGGCTAAATAAACAGGAAAATAAATCTTTTTCCATTTGGCAAAAGAAGGAAAGAGAGAGAGAGCGAGAGAGTAAAGAGAGAGAGAGAGAGAGAGAGAGTCCCGGACAAATGGGTATGTAGGAGGAGACTGGTAAGTGTACGCGGGGAGGCGGGAAAAGTGGAAATCATATATTTCCTTACAAGGTATCGATTCCTGCGAGAATTGAGCCATTAACCTAGATTTCTGTCGTATTTTCCAGAAAGTTGTTTCGCAAAAATTGTCCGCTCAAGTGTAAATATTCAGCTGTTAAATAGAGGGCAGAAAGTGACGGGGCACAGACATCACTTTTCCGAATGCGTACCACGCCAAATCTTCCGCGCTGCTTCCGCTCCCCGGTCCCCCTGTCTTCCTTCCCCGTACGTCATTCACTTCCTTGCCATCTCAGTCATTGCAATAATGCACGCTCGCTTTACTCGCTCTCGTTTGCTCTTTCCGAAAATTGCCAACCTAAGAGTTACCACCCATCAGCTCTTTCCTCTGTCTATCCACCCTGAAAAACAGAGAGAAATAAAGAATAAGTAAGATAACATAAGGAGGGTGGAGACTGTAATAACTATTTTGTCATGAGCCGAATCTTGGACTTAAAGTAAGAAAGGAAATGAAAACGAAAGACTTACTGGGCTTCGTGCGTGGCGAAAGAAAAGAAAAGAAAGATATCAAAGGAGAAAGAAAGAAAGAAAGAAAGAAAGAAAGAAAGAAAGAAAGAAAGAAAGATATCAAAGGAGAAAGAAAGAAAGAAAGAAAGATATCAAAGGAGAAAGAAAGAAAGAAAGAAAGAAAGAAAGAAAGAAAGAAAGAAAGATATCAAAGAAAGAAAGATATCAAAGAAAGAAAGAAAGAAAGAAAGATATCAAAGAAAGAAAGATATCAAAGAAAGAAAGAAAGAAAGAAAAGAAAGCTTACGTGTTGTGTGGAAAATCGGAGAAATAAAAAGGAAATAAAAAAGAAAGGCAAAGAAAAACAGACTGGGTTTCAAATTTGCAGAATGAAAGTAGAGTGAAGGAATGGCAGTAAAGCTAGAGTTCAAGTTTGGGGGCAAAAAGGTGGGGAAAAGAAAGGTGAAATACAAAAGATTAAGAAAGACAGATTAGGTTTTAGTTTAAAGATATATATATATATAAAGCTAAAAAGCTCAAGTTTCGAGAAAAAAGTGAGGAAGAGCTAAATAGAATACAAAAGTTTAAGAAAGACGAACTAGATTTCGAGTAGAAATAAATAAATAAATAAATGGAGAAAAAGTTGGGGAAAATAAAAAACGAAATGAAAAGAAAAACAAGATGGGCTTCACCGCAAAGACAAACAGCGAGAAGAGCAAAGAAGAACAAACGAAGAATTCTCTGTTTGAAGAAAGGGCGAAAAAGAATTTTAGAAAAGTGGAAAGAAAAAAAGAAGAAATATGTCTCTGGCTTATTTTAAGAAAAATTATAACAAAGAAGAAAAAGATAACGAAAGAGAAATAAAGAAAATGATCAAGGAGGAAAGCGCTGTTAAAAAATTCAAGAAAGAAAAGATATCAATAAAAAGATCTCTTTTGCAAGATTCAAGTATTTCAGAGTGAGTAAACGCGAAGGAAAGGCTTTAAAAAAAAATAGCAAACAAACAAAAATCAAAAACATCTATTTTGAAAAGAAAAACGAACGGGAAAAGAAAAATAAATTTTGTTGAAAAAGGAAGAACGTCTCGGGAAAACGAAAAATTGGAGAAAAAGAAAGAAAATTTAAAACGCGCGCGCGAGAGAGAGAGATGGTGTTATTTTCTCGGCTTTCTGGGTAACCCAATGAGGATCGAAATCTAGTGAATTATCCTGCAAGACAAGTTTCCTGTGTCACGGTATGTTTCCATAAGTTTTGCTTGGTGGATTAAAAATGCTTATCTGCCACCGACGCCAATTTCAGTGTTCAAGTTGAAATTCAAGCCAGAATTTCGATATTCAAGACAGGCAGGCCGGCCATCCACATTGACAAAATAAAAAAATATAAAATCTTCTTTCCCACTTTTGTACTTTTGCTTAAGTAAATGTGGCTTGGTAAATAAATTAAGACTTGTTTCAGATTGTTGAGGCATCTTGCTTGGTTAGTCATGAACATCTTACAGGGAGCGATTGTGGTCAGTACTTGGGTTTGGATAAAATGAGTATTTTGAATGAAGGCAGGCCCTCCCCACTTGGAAGACTGTCGTAACACTATCTTCATATCTCTATTCCATCCTTTATATTTGACCGTGTACCATAGGAAACGGAGTAAGTAGAGAAAGACACGAATATGAGGAATGCTAAATTATTCTGAATAAATAAAGCATGACAATGAAGAAGTCGAACAAGAGAAAAAAAAATCAGAAAGAAGTTAAATAAAACAGGTGAAAGAAGTAAAGAAAAAAAGAAAATGAAGAAAGAAAAAGAAAGAGTCAACGCGAAGAAAATACACCGAAAAAAAAAGAAGGGTTAAAAGAAAGAACCAAAGATAGAAAAGTAGAAGAAAGAAAAAATCGAAGACAGAAAGAAAAAAAAAAACTAAAAGACAGAAAGAAAGTATAAGAAAAAGTAGAAGAAAGCAAGCAAGATAAAAGAAAGTAAAAGAACGAAAGAAAAGAAAGAAAGAAAGAAAGAAAGAAAGAAAGAAAGAAAGAAAGAAAGTATAAACGAAAGAACCAACGAGTAGAAGAAAGAAAGAAATTCTATTTTTCATCTGATTCCGTTCCAGCAGATATTTTTCGGAACGAACGGTCATTTGCTGTCTTTAATTGCGCGAGTGCCAAGCAGCATTGGTTCGAAAACCCCCACCGGAGCGACCCTTTCTTCCTCTTCATTTTCACCACCATCATTCCCGACTCACCGTAAAAGTCGGCTTTTCGCAGAGACACACTCGTGCAATAATACACCCCCCTCCCACTTCCCTTGTCAAAACCTCATACAACTAACTACCGTCACGCACGAGAGAGAGACGTATAGAGATTTCTTCGGCGTACAATATATGCACCATCCATAAAAAGACATTTGCATCTACACATTTTTTTAAACTTACAAACACAACAGTGCAAGGATTCTCTCACTACCGTATTTAAAAACATTCTAAGACACGAATATATATTTTTACATATAAATTAGTAGACACTCATTACAGGTGCGTGCATTCTACATAGGGTTGGGTGGGAGCATCCAGAAATTACACTGTTCCGTTGACTATTGCCACAGACATCAGGACGTAACCCATGTTTATCTTTTATTGTCATGGGGAGGTGCTGTCTGGGGGATGGATCAGCAGAGTTCATTAGTGGTTTCTAGCTTACAGTTCCGAACTACTGGAAATAAATAAAATTTTAAAAAAACGCAGTTAAACACATGCTTAACAACAGGTGTGTGTATGTGTACGCATTTTGTTATGTGTGTAAGAATAAGATGCATTCGTGTAAGTGTGTGAAATATGCACATGTTTACGTGGATGAAGTTATTTACAAATATTAGATTAGTTTTTTGGCACAAGGATATAAATATGGGACATCAAGTGAGGATCGAACTCACTACTTCAGTCGTAATGGTCAACCAGACAGACGAAGTTGCTGTGTGTGAAACTATTTAACAAATAGGATGCGTGTGTTTTTAAAATATATGTGTTAGGATGTGAAAATAGAATATGTGCTTGTAAATGTGTACTACTATATGTACGAATGTGTGTGGACATCTTCATGTGTGTATGTATATGTTCAGTGCATAAAATTATATAAACATGAACACATATGCAGAGTTTGCCTGTAAAAAAATATATGTGGATGTCAGCTATGCACGCACATTTAACATGTGTGTGTTAAAGTAAAACTAATTACCTTTGTAATGTGTATGCAATTGTCATGTGTGTATTGGGTTATAGTTTACAGCTTTACACATTTATACACCTGAGTGTGTTTGTGTGTGTGAGAGAGAGAGGGAGAGAGCGGGAGAAAATAAATGTTCGGAGACATGCTACATGTATTACGGTTCCGTGAGAGGCACACAAACCGTTTATTGGCGCAAACCACACAGACCTCTCCCAAACACATTTTGGTTCGTGCGACTACAGGCTGCCGTACACACTCTACGCCACTCTGTTTTTCTCTCTCTCTCATTCGATCTCTCTCCCTCTCTCGATCTTGCTCTCGCTCTATCGTGTTTGCCAATCGTTCTTGTTACATAAAACCATCAGAGACGACAGAGCCACACGCCGGGAAGCACGTTCACTTTTCGCCACGGATTCCTGCGGATTTAAAAACTCGGCAGTTTTTCTGGTAAGTCGAAGTGCCGTCTTTCTTTCTTTCTTTCTTTCTTTTTCATTCTTTTTTTCTTTATTTCTTTCTTTTTATTTCTTTCTTTCTTTTTTCTTTTTCCAAATTCGTAAGCCTGTCTGTCTTACTTTTAGTTTTTCTTTTCCTTACTTTTTTTATTT